TATTTTTTTAATTATACAGCCTTTGTTTAAATAAAATACATTGAACTACAGTAAAATATTCTCACTTACAACTACCCCACGGAAATAAAAGAAAAAAGACTGCAGAAATAATCGGATGGTCTATATTCTTAAGTCAGTTCGGATATCTGGAATTCAGTTTTATTTTGTTTTCAATTAATACTGTTAAGCATAAACATTTTATAAAAGTAATAAAATTAGTTTCAGAGGAAAATCGAATTAATCTATGTAGAGATACCCGGAAGTTTAACAGTTATGTATAAGACTGCATTCTACATCTTATGCATATTTCTTCCTGTTTCATAATTCATTTATAATTAAAATCTAAGAATATTAGTAATATTGAGAATATTACTAATTACTACTATCTTTAATTACTTAAAATTGAAACTCAGTTTTTAATGCCAATTAATTAAATTAATATTTTCCTTTTATAGGTTAATGATAAATTTAAGTTAATTAAAGAAAAATATTTTTTATCATATTAATTAATTTGAATTATATTTAATCTGTACTTTTTAATGCTATTACAATTATATTCTAGAAGAACTATAATTTAAAATGAATACTTTTATAAAACTTATAGTAAAAGAACTTAAAATATTTTTAAATTACAGAAAATCTTCAAAATACCAACTAATGTAAAAGTCAAATTGCACATGATTTAATAAACAATGGTGACAGATAATCATAGCTGAATGTTAAATAAAAACTACACGGGATAATTAATGTAATTAATGTAAAGTATAACAAAACAAGGAATAGAGAAATCCTAAGTTAAATTCTCTGTTAACCATAGTAATGCCCGTAATGCACAGATGAATCAAAAAATGGTAGCTTATGTAGAACAGCTTAAAAATGCTTTCTACTTTTTTTTACTGAAGTATTCCTAATCTCATTCAAAATTACTCAGATTCTTTTTTGCAGGTGTAGAATGATACCGAATCGCTTTAAAATTCGATCACTTTCACGAGCTGTTAATTTTCAAAAAGTACAAACAAAAATGCATACTTTGAAAAACTTATGTGAAGAACAACTCTAACGTAATTAAATCATTTCTACGATAAGTATAAATATCATTGATGAATAAATTGAAATATTTGTTATTAATGAATGAGAGTAGAGAGTAAAAGAAAATCGACTCACTTTTTAATATTCCGTTGCTATAAAATATTAGCAATGAAGAAGCGTTTTACACAAAATTTAGATCTTCCAACTCATCAGTATATCCTGGAGGCCTGGATGAAACTGAAAACGTGCGACGAGCGCTGGAGATTATATGCGATGTGTGTTTGCTTGCAAAAGAGGGGGAGGGAGAATTCGTTTCCAGTTTTTGGGAAATTCCTTTTCCTGTCCATAACATGTCATTCGATAACGCCTCCGATTTCAAAAGCGCTTCCTCATTGGCTGAGAAGTTGGACTGCGTTGTATTCTTGTGCATGACGTCACAGAGAAAGGCCAAAGGAAAGGGTGAGATGGTTTCCATGGTTGCAGTTCCTGTTGTATACTAAGAAGTTAAAGTTGAAGTGTTTGCCAAGGCATAAGTTTTCGAAATTTTACTTGCGAGTTGTTCTAATAATGGGTACTTAAACTACTACGTAATGTAAATGGAGGCGGTTGAAAGAATTCTTATTTTATAATGTTTTAAAGTATGATTAATAATTGCAATTGCTGGGAAATTCCAGATTTCTTTTTCTGGCATTAGAATTATTTTAACTATACTATTTCCATTTCTTATGTTAACAGAGAAATAATCATTCGCTTCTCCTGAAAAATAGGCAATTCGAAAAACTATTATAATTCGTGGCGAATCCTTGAATTTAAAATTTTTCTTTGATTCTTCGACATCTCTGTTTAAATTATAAAAGTACATTACAGATCAATGTAGCGAACTGAGTGATTTAGGAAAAATTTGCATAACTATTATCTCATTTTTTAATAATTTGTACGTATTTGCTATAATTTATAAGACGTTTAAATGATACTTTTTATACTCAACAACAGCATTAAGGTAATTAATAAGAAAGCATTAATATGCTATTATATTTTCAGTTAAAAAGAGGCCCACTTAAAAAATTTTAATATGTTACAGTTTAATATGAAATAGTTTCATTATTTTTATAATGGTTTGAATTCATAATTTAAAAGTTTATGAGGATTTTCAGTATCTTTTTAGGAACTTTACTGAGTTTTGCTTTGAGTAAGTATAAAGCCAGAACACTTGTTTGTGCAGATAAACACACTTTCACTGCAATATCAAATGCAAGTATTTCTATGTTTTTTAAAAACTTTGCGGAAAATGCATGCCATATTAGAATAAATCTATATAAAATGTGGAAACTTATTACTCAGTAACCGTCGAAATAACGTTCATCGGGAAACACTTGTTTCAGATTGCCTGACGTTCCTAGAAGTATTAGCAAAAGGCATATTTTAGTGCCATCATAGACTGGCTGTGTTGTTTCGGATAAACTGAATTATGCTGAAACACTAATCCTATAAAACAATATTTATAAAGGACAAAAGCAAGATCAGAAATCTATGAAATAAAATAATTATGGCTGGATAGAAATCTGCTTTTGATCAAAGAAATTCACGCGTCTTTTCCTGAAATGTCATTTGCAAAAAATGCGCCGAATTGTCGACATATAATTCAACTCCGTTCGCACTACAACATAAACTGCGATGTCCTGTGGGGTGTAATTTCACACAAGTTTTGTACAGAAAGTGAACTAACAACTAATAATAATCAAATTTAATTTTTGGAACTTTAATACAAGAGTTATGACTTCTACGTGAATTTTTTGATAAGAAAAGTATTTAAGGTGTATTCTCACTGAAATCAAAACTTTAAAAGGGTAGTGAGATCTCTTGCCGAAGATGAAGGTAGCTGAGAAACCTAAGAAATGGGAGAAGAGTATAAAGCTTAACTGGATGAGTAGTTTAGTTAATTATTTTAAAATATTCCAAGATCATTTGCTTAGTCAAAATGCTTTTGTGACGACTTTTCTATGATAAACGGGTTCCTATTTGTATTATAAGTATATATAATTATGAAAATACCCATGAAAATCTCCTAATCGAACCACTAAAGAAACTATCACTCTTTAGGCACCTGGCCACTGGCGAACCATAACTCACGTAAGTACTAGGAAAGTGGAATCAAAGTTTTTTTGATAGAGAGGATTGATAAATAATAGTTTTAGCAGACCAAGAAATTCGTGCTTCGTTTTTAACATAGCTAATCTCCGCTTAAGAGACTCCATAATCATTGAAATGATAGAGAGGAGCAATTGAAAAAAATCTTGAAAGATAATTGTAATAAAGTATTATTGTGCTTTTGAGTTTTCTAAGTTTTTACATTAACTCTGGAGTTAACTGAGGGAGCATTAAATTGAATTCGACTTATGAAGACTTTGAATTAATGCCTAATGATAGGAAATAAATAATGTTTTCATTTGAGTTTCTTTTGAAAACGTTAAAAACTTTATCTTGTCTTCATTTGCAGTCATTTAAATATTATTTAGTTCTACATGGAGCATTTTACTGATTTTGAACTTTCCATTTAGCTATGAATCGAACACTGATCTTAGCTAATTGGAAAGTAAGTGATTTTGCTTCCTTTGTTCCGTAACGTAACATATTACACGAAAAGCAGTAGCTCCTCAACGGGAAATTTACCTATATATGTACAATACATGATCATTCTATGGATACTTTCAAAGTTATTAAACAGAATGCTTTCATTACTAGACTATAGGGACTTCTGTTATTTGCAGTAAGTAATTCTTCAGGCTCCCTTTATAAGAAAATCAGAAAATGTGTCACAACCAAGTCCTAAACAAGCATCTGAATGTTTTTTAGAGCAGCCCTTTTGCCTTTTCACCGATAGGAAAACATTATCACAGTCCCAAATGAGATCTCAAGCAGTTTTATTATTTTATGTTTTAATAAAATTACAGAGATTTTTTTCATACAGGCAGGAATGGAAATACTTCTTTTAAAGAAGTAGCTTCAGCAGTACAGATTCTAAAACAGGTATATGTAGAATTAAGGTCAGCACCTTTGTTGTACAACAGGTGATTTAAACATTGCTGAATATTGCTAACTTTTGAGCTTCCGCTCAAATTTTGAGGTAGAGTATCTCGGAGCAGCCCACTTCGCTTCTTTTACCACTGGCCTCTCAAGATGATTTGGCTCGGCTAACCACATATTTTGAGGGCCCCCTTGCCGCACAGCCATTACACGCTTGAAAAACATCCATTTCTTCTCTCCGATTAGAGCCCGGTTCCTTCGGTACGGTATTCAGTGTCACTAGACGGATGAATGCTAAAGCAGTGGCCTTAAAATTCTCCAGTGGATATTGAAATATCAAACGATATTTTTATAATTATTTTAAACAAAATAAGAGAAGACTTTCTTAACAGCTCATGGCAACTTTGTCATAAATAAATAAATAAAACTGAAAGTGATGCAATATAAAAGCAACAGAAATAACACATATTACCACCGAAAATAAAAACTCAAATGTAAAATATGGTTAACATATCAACAAAAATAAAAAAATAATAATGTATGAAAAAATAATACATACTGCTATACACAGTCTGTAACGTTTGTCTTAATAAGCACATTATGTTAATTTGCTCTATTACTTTTATTTCTTTTGTCAAAAATACCAGAATGTAAATTAAGTAGGATTTGAATAACGAGCAAGATTATTAATTGAAAAAAAGAAAGAGAGAGTTTGACCATTAGCAACGTTGTTTTGTTATTAATCGCTCTTTTATAGTCCCAGCTGGTTTCTATAAGTATTTTCTGACATTTGCTAGGGTTTATGGTTAAAGGTTGAACATGATTTGGTTGATAGATATTAAATGTTGAGTACACATATTTTTCCCTTTTTTGCATTCTAAGAGCTTGCAAAGAATGTAGAATCATTAGGTTAATTGGAAAAACCAGAGAGATGAAACATTAGCAACCGCCTTCGCCGGGAATCGAACCAGGAACCTCTGAAATACTGGCTCAGTGTGCTGACCACTACACCACGAAGGCACGCTAGGAAGGCGGGAGAAATACCTTATAAACACCCCCCTTTTAAAGGGCGACTGGGGTTTTTAGGGGACACAATCGTCAAATCTTGGGTGTGGAGATTCATCATCCGCGACCCTTTTAGTTCGGGTGCCACTGTAGAGACATTAAGTATTTTGGAAGCAGGAGAGATGAAAAATATGCAATGCCCTCGCCGGGAATTTGAACCACGGATTTCTGGAATACGGGCCCGGCGTGCAGAACCACTACACCGCGAAGGCAAGGCCGGAGAAATACCTTATAAAAATAATGAGTTTGTTCAATTTTAGTTGTACCTAAAGCCGTAGTGTAACTAAACGCTTAATTTAGTTTTTAACTTCAAAATTATCTAGTCTATAGTCATCAGAGTTGTAGACATCAAATGAAAATGCGAAGACGATAAGTAGCGCAGGAGTGTTAAACTAAGAGTAAGTTAAGAGTCAGCTACTTTTGACCTTTCAAGTTCAATTCTCAAAGTTAAAGAAAAGTCTAAATTATACATGAAGTTTGAGTTATCCCTTTGAATGAAGAGAGAGGATTAATGATTCATTAACGTTTAGTACTACTTTTTTTTTTTTTTCAGGTTAGAAAAGCATTTGAATTCTACAATTTCTCGTCGTGTTACATTACGGCACACTTTAAATCACTTTATACTCTTGTAATCAACCAAACAGCTTGGTAAATTGTCAACTTTGCCAATATTACGTCGAATAAAACGAGAGAAGTGATGTTGGAAAATATATATAATGATACTGAACTAAATATTTTTTGCAAAGAGAGTAGAGACGTTGAAAGTTTGTTGTGCGGTTTCACTTTTAAAATTCTTATAGATAATAAAAGTTAAGTTACCTTAACATACAACTGTTCAGATTTTAAATGCGATGACGAAGATCAAATTAAGTCACTGGGTGATGAAACAGAATGATGGAATACAAATGCTGGTTTGGAAGTAACAATCTTTATATTACATACTTTAAAAATTGAGGAGTATATAAAATAGCAGTGGGATGTATTTTATTCTATGAATGATTAGATTTATCAATGCAGGTGATGTGAAGAATGCGCGGTACCCTCACCTATATTTGAACACTGGAACTTTCGACTGCTAGCCGGACGTGCTATCTACTTACACCCGAAAGGAGAGAGATAATACCATCTAAATGTACCAAATGCCATATTTGCTATTTTGATAAGTTGCATTTATTCCGAAATTAAGAATTAAATTGCTGTTTTTTAAAGAGACATTGAAAGACTAGAAGATGTATCAGATTGCTCGTGGAGAATCACTTGCTTTGTTTGCAGACTTTTCCCCAGTTAATAATACTTTCAAGTACAAATATATAAATTTCTTTCAGTTACGTTATAAGATTCTAGCTAAACTGGTTGTCCTTTGCAGCTAGACTATTTGAGAGGAATGTAGTGACTAATCGCTTACTTCTGAGACTTTAACAAGTCCAAAGAAGGCTTAAATTATCCTTTTATTCGACTCAAGAATATTTACAGTTGGCCCCTTGCTCGCTTACAGGGAAGCTTACACTTGGGCTTTAATTTAAGATAGAAAATAAGAAACTAATCTAATGCTAACTAAACTAAAAGCAGCCTAAGCTGCACGGCAATTAACTAACAGGGTTGGCTCTTAGTACAATCACTGGCGAATGCTGGCAAGCACCTAACAACACAACTGAACGTAGTAAGATTTGGCTTAACGCTACGACGTGGCCATAAAGCAGAACACGTTCTACTAAGAACTTCTGGGGTATTAAAGTGACGGACACTTCAACTTAAATACTAGCTCCACCGAATTTACATAAAACGCGATTCTGAAAACTCATTCTAGCAGGGAAATATAGATGAGAAAATAAGAATTTAAAGGGAAGCTTATTCAAAAATAAATATAACCACTAGGAAATTAGAACAAAGCTCCACAGGATTATTACGAATTTGATCTGCACTGGTTTCAGTTTTGCCAAATTTGCTTAGCTATTTTGAATAATGCTTTTGATTTCCCAAAGAGCATTAACAGAACTGTTACTGAAACCTTTTGCTAAATCATTGTACGAGAATGATGTTTTACATAAGTGATTTCAGAGACACATGCATAGAGGCATCATTCAATTAAACTGCAGTTAATCTAAGTGTTACTAAGAGTAACGCTCTATGAATTAATTTAAAGCTGATGTTTCAAAAACATTTTGAAGTTAATTTTCTTCATTAATTGATTTTTTAGATTTTAATACATATTTAATAACGAAACCAAATGAACTTGGGATATTGTATGCAAAAGTAATGAACTCAAATAAATCTTTTTTCAAGTTATGACATCAAACGTCTGCTTACATTGGGTCAATTAAAACTCCAGCTATGCGAAAAGTATTATCCGGAAATTGCTAAATAATCAAAAAATGAAAGCGATCAAAGATTATAATAAATTATAAAATTCGTGTAGCTATCCCAACGAGGTTTTTGTCATTCTGTGAGGAAATTTATTACTGAGCAATAACAAATGTTGGCAGTACTCCAGAAGAGAATTTCTAAGATTAGAAATTTATGTTCTTATCTCTTATACTAAAAAGGGAAATTATTTTACTACAGTGCAGTTAAATCTTTAAAATCTTATCTAAAAAATAAATCTTTGTTGTTTCAGAATTTTTTTCATGCATTACATGCTGCTTTATACCTCAAATAATGAAAAAAATGTGAATAATTACCCCTACAAGTTCCCAAGGGATATCTAGGCACCCGCAAATCAGTTTCACCCTGCTGATTATATCCATCCCAAATAGGGTCACTACTACTAACCGATAACCACCAAATACCGCCACCATTGAAAACACACACTCATACATATGGAAGGAGCTCAAAATTCTAGACGGCTTGTGTGCTGGAATAATACCTGTTCAATTCTGTAGTGAGGTCTCTGGTATTACACTCACTTTTACCTGTACCTGTGTAACAGTTTTAGTGAATATTTCAGATTAGGATAATTCATTACTGCTCAGAGGAAGCTTAACGATTAGATGCGATATACGTCCTTCTTGATGATTTTATGAATGCTGATATTTTTTATACGCTGGGATTGCCTAAGTCTTACTCTGCAAGAACAAATAAGTATAAATGCTATGATATATGAAAAAAAAATTATGTGTGATAATAATATCCTATGCTGTCACTGCTGGTATCTATTACAATAAAATTTCATACTTGTCATACTCTGTTGGATAAAATTAATGAAATTTGTGAGCATGAACTTAATACGATTAACACAAGTAGTATTCTGAGTACTAAGTAATTAAGTATTCTAAGTTGTACCGCCTGTAGTAATTGTTCTACGTTTAAAATTCGGCAGTTATAATAAAACCTCCTTTTTGTCAATTGACTTATTTATGGAATTAATTACAACAATGATCACAAAGATATTTTTTAAATTCCTACTATTAGCTCTAACTCTCCCTATATCTTGTTCAAATTTTCAATCCTTAATAAAATACTTTTTATTCATCCACTCAAATTCAAATACATTTTTTTTAAACTTGTAGTGGGTGACACTTGATGTTAAATGCTAATATAGCTTCTTCACATATTAACATTTTTTGCAATTTTTAATTTAAAAAATTGTTTTTAAATTTAATTTTTTTTTTTTTGCACTATTAAAATTTTTGCTGACCTAAGTAGGAATTGACTTTAATATTTTTATTTAATTAAGTATTAATTAATTAACTTTCAGTCATTAATAAAATACTCTTTATTCATAAACTCAAGTTTAAATACATTTTTTAAAGTTGTAGTGAATGGCAGTTAATGTTAATACAGTTTTTTTTCACATATTAAAAATTTTTTAATATGTGAAAAAACTTTTAAATTTTTAATTAATTATTTTTGTATTTTTAAAATTTTTCGTTGTTGAGCTAAGTAGGAATTGACTTCAAAATTTTATTTTTATATTACTTGTTTGTTTTCTTGTACAGTCCAACGCTTAAGTTGTGTACCCATCCTTTGGATTTTAGGCACTGAATCATATTCTCTTCGCGGTCTTCCTCACAAACATTGCAGAGAGAAGAACATGATGTAAAACAATATGGTTGAGTAGGGGGTAACTCATTTTACCGGAAGAGGGGTAGGTGGCATGATATTACGCCTAATTTTTAAAAGGTACAACTTAGGCTATGGTACGACTCGAGCAACTTTACACTAAAATTAAAAATCGTTATATATTACGAGCTTCCACTACAGATCTTTTTATCATAATGTTTAATATTTTAAATAAAATAAGTTTCATACAGAAATAATATGAATGAAGAAATATTGGCTAAGTAGTTGTTGTCTTGTCCACGTAATTTCATGGAAGAATGGGAACCACAGCCTGCAGGAAGTCGGACCTTCTACTTTTTATCTCGATTTTGAGGGAGAGAACTTTGAGGTGATCTGGAGCTCTCCCGCCGATGTCCCCTACCACCAAACCACATGATATGATCTTCGGCTCGCCATATATCTATTGCCCCCATGCCGCAAAGACACTATAATTTAAACATTTGTAAAATACATGCCTTCTCCGGGATTTGAACCCGGGCCCTTCGGTGCCGTAGTAGGCTTCCCTAACCACTATACTGTCTGGGCAGCATTGGCTAAATAGAAACTCTATTATATATAATACCTTGATTTTTCAGTAGCTTAGAAGGTATTTCTCCCGCCTTCTTGGCATGCCTTTGTGTTGTGGTGGTCTGCACACTGGGCTTGTATTCTAGAGGTCCATGGTTCGATTCCCAGCAAAGGCGTTGCACATTTTTCCTCTTGCCTGTTTCCAACCTAATTTCTCTACAGTGGCGCCCGAACTAAAAAGGCTGTTGGTTGATGATTCGCCTGACCCAGGATTTGGCGATTCGTGTCCCGTAAAAACAACAGTCGCCCTTTAAAAGGGAGAATATATAAGGTATTTCGCCCGACTTCTTGGCGTGCCTTCGTGGTGTGGCGATCTACACGCTGGGCGC